TACATTTCATTTCAGGCGCGTAGCCGGGACCTTGGCAAGAGCAGGGTTGACAAAGTGCCGCATTATAGTAAAAGCCCTCCCTCTCTCAAACTAGACATTTCCGATTGTAACTCATTTGCTACTGAGGGCATGCTTTATTCATTTTTACCTTCTATGACTAGAATAGAAGCCAGAAACTACCGCGAGACCAACTCTGCCTGCATGTTATAGTCAACCAACTGAAGAAACCATGCGTTAAACGACTGTATGGAATAAATCACCGGCGCTCGTCGTTTCACAAACGTGCAGTGGGCTTTTTCTAAACAGAGAGAACTCGTAGTCAGAATTCTATCTAGGCTGTGTAGAAATGTTAACGACCCCGCGAATGTAGATTGTAGATCGAAATGGGTCAACAAGTTGCATTAACATGTCCGAGGCAACTTTGTCTGGAAATGTTTAATATTCAATCAGAACACATTAACGTTACAACTTACGTAACATAGTTTTGAGCGAGCCCGTTCGTAAATCTTAACAAAAACTTCAACTCCAGGCGTTGCAGTCTCCGTTGGCCGCGCGGGGTCGGCCCGTCGGCTAACACTAGGCTGTTGCCAATGGGTGCACGAAAACGATGATATATTTGACAAAATTACCTCTATATGCTTCAAGACTTCAAACCTCACATTTAGAAGGCAGGCGGGCGTATATTTCACCTGTGTGATTTTTAGATTAATGTATTGGGCAGATTGGTATTTACAACGTCATGAAGTGGTGCTGGAATCTGGTGATAGAACTGGAGGAGTAAAAGTGGAATCTCTGTTTCTGGTGTTGCTGTAGCTGTCATTCTGACCAGAAGACAACCCCAAACTTGTGAAAAAGCCACGCCCAACCTAACCTTTGAACGTTGCGAGTTAATTTTTTAAGACATTCGGAAGCATTATTCCACGACGGTCGCCGTCGCGCGCACGGCACCCGCCGCCTGGTGTCGCTTGCATTAACCAATGCGATTCGGCTTTACGGGAACTGCAACTCGGGCTTTCGCTGCTCTTGCTTTCGAGACTGCGGGCGCAGGCTGAAACCTTTTGATGGTTTGTTTCACGAGTCGGTTCTGCAAAGGAATAAAATTACTCAGGCAAACATGGGATGGCCTTGTCCGTTTTTAAACTCAGTTTCATCCACTCTTTTGAACACTAATGAGACTCCCCGTGTCTTTCCGGTTAAAGAGTCACCATTGAAAAGAACACTAGGGAGCATATTAGTGTTCTCGGTCAAGAGCTAAATGGCCATTCTGTCCGACCGCGGGGTACCTTCCGGCTGCCATTCTGGCGACACCGGGGGATCCCCTGGCCGATCTGGAGGCCCTTGGAGGGACGCATCATATCACAATGGCTCCTTCAAGGCGCCGGTGGCCTTCTGACCCGGGAAGACCGCAGTTGACCCCGGATCAACGCAGGAACCGCCATTGACGCAACAGCAGTCCTCATCGCCACAGGTGGTCCGATAATTGGCACAAAGGCCCAGTTCGGCTTGCCGGGCTCAAGCTAGAGTTGGGTTGGGGGCCCACCATTCAGTACTTGACTGTACTTGACCCACCAGGACCTTGACTGTCACATATTTCGTCCACCGCCTCATTGTAAATCATCTTGGCAAGTTGCCATGTTCCCTTTCATTGTCAGAGGGCTCCGACCAACGTAAGAGGCCTCTGTCATTCGGGGCCCCGTCGCCGCCACAATAGAGCACGTCTTTTTCTGACCGACTCGAGGCCCCTCGTTGACGCGGAATACCTTGTTCGGTACTGTGGACCCGTGAACGATATGGGAGCCCGCATTGTTACAGGTGACGCGACTAGTGTAAATCGCGGGCCTCGCCGTGTCCTCTCTGGAGAAATAGGGCCCCAGAGCTCAGACCGGCACGGAACCGACCGTTCGGTGTTGGTGACCTCTGGCCGAGACAGAGGAATGCTCTCTCTCAGAGGTCCCCAATCGATGCAGGAAGCTCTGTAACTGACATTTGAGATCACGGCCCTACGGGCTGGAGCCCTTAATGGGACATGCAGTCAGCCCTTTGGGTCGTTAAGTTTTATTATGGGGCCGCTGATCTTTGGTCTCAGGAGACCCTTTAGCCCATTTTCGGGCGCCTTCAAACACCGCTCCTGGCCGACTCAGGCCACTTGCCGCCACATGATCCCTGTTACGCACTGTGGCCACCGACCAACACAGGAGCCCCTCATAGTGCCAGGGACACCGAACATTGCAAATCGCAGGCCCCGGCCTCGTTCGTGCTTGGGAACTGGGCTTCAACGGCTCAGACGGACATGGAGCCGACTGTTCGGCTTCGTGTCGATGCCCTGAATAATAGGGATAGAACACTCTAGTAAGAGGGACCTAATAGAAGTTCTCTGATTGACATTTCAGGCCATGGCACCACGGGCGGTGGAGTCGGGATGGAGTCCAATGGGATCCTCCATCTTTGGTGCCGAGGGTCCCATTGAGGGCCCCATCTTTGGTGCCGAGGGCCCCATTGAGGGCCCCATCTTTGGTGCCCATCTTCGGAACTCCTAAAACAAAGTCCGTGAACGACTAGGGGCCACTAGTCGAGGCATGACCACCAGTGATGCCCTTCGGGTCTCTGACCAACAAAACGGCCCCAAGAACTGTTTTAGGGCCCCAGACCAATGCAACCTTTCGTTCCCGGTCTCACTCCTGCCTGGGAAATGGGCCCCCCAAGGTTCAGACTGACATGGAGCCATCTGTTCAGTGTTCGTTTGTCCCAGGCCAAGTTCGACACCCGCATTGTCTCAGGTAAACGTTTCAAGAGGACTTCTGGTTGATATTTCAGGTCACGACCCTAAAGGCCTGATTCTTGACCTTCAACCAATCCTTTGGGCCGTTAGGCCCTCCAACCCGGCCTTTTGATACTCTGTTTCGTCGGGCCGACCGGACCTTTCTCCGGACCTCATCAAGTGCCGCCCTTGGTCGCCTCGAAGCCCGTTGGGTGCACAGGACCCTCGTTTAGGCGCTGTGGTCTATCTAGATATAGGGGCACCGACCAGTGTAAATCCATGCTCCAGCCTTGTACCTGATTGAGAAATGGGCCCTCAGATCCATACCGACCCATAGCGGACTGTGTGGCATTGGTGGTGCCTGACCGACGTATAGATCCTCAGGGTATGCCTGATCGCTGTAAAGGGCCCTATAACTATCATTAAAGGATCCGTCCCCGCAGGCCGGGGCCCCTGAATAACACTCTGACCATCCCTTCGTGCTCCTAGACTCTCTAGTCGAGCCCTTGACCATAGGACCCAAGGGTTCCTCCAGACTATTCGGATGTCCTCGAACACTACATGTGGCCGACTTGGGACCCTTTGCCAGCATATGACCCCCGTTAGGTGTTGTGAGGCCCCGAACAATGTAAATCGCTGGCTCCGGATTTGTCCACGCTTGTGAAATGGGCCCCCAGGTCCATGCCGCGATGGAGCCGACTGTGCGTTACTGATGGTGTCTGAACGACATAGACATACGCGCTTATTGACTTAGGGCCCCATATCAGCGCACAGGACCGTTTGGCTGGCGTTGGAGTGCCCGGCCGTGCTGGCCGGGCCACCGGAATACGAGCTCTGGCCGGCCTTTCGGGCCTTTAGTCGTAGGTTCTGAGTGACCCTCCGGACCGCTCGTAACCTAAGACGAAGGTCACGTGTCCCCTGTGCCCCCTCCCTCACCTCTGCCTTCGCTATTTTTTCAGAACCAGAGGCAGAAGCCGGTTCTAAAGCTTCCGAATGCTCCGAAATCATCGAAATATTAGTAGCAGAAAACACTGCAGCTTTGCTACCGATGTGTTCTGCATGTTGGTGTGAAAACATGGGTCCCCTCCCGCTTGGTGATAGCTCATTCTGGGCCTAAGATCGACCCATCCCCATTCTCATTTTGGGTCCAAGATGGGGTTGTTCACTCCCAAGTTTTTGCAGAGCTGGGAGAGGTTCTCAGGAATCAGAGCAAAAAACGATCCTTTCCGGACTTGGCCTGCGCCTTTTAAGGGCATAAACAATGATACTTCCCAATTGCGAGTCTCCAACCGGCGAACCCAGGTCACTAGTCGGCGAATCCCGCGCCTCCAGCCGGTCACTTCCTGATTACCAGCCGCGGAGCCCTGGGTCTGCAGCCAGCGAGCTCTGGGTCTGAAATCACGAGACGCGGACCTCCAGGCGACTCGTCTCGGGTCCCCAGCCGGCGTATCTCAGGTGTAACATTTGCCATCGAGTTCGTAAGCACCTGGTGAGCCGTTTTATCATGCACACCATGCACCTCGGGTTATCATGCACTGTTTGCGGGAATTTCTTTGAGTGGCTTAATATGGACCTGGAGTTGACCCCACGGGTGATTAAGTTCCTGTACTTGAAGGGTGGTATTGTTTCACATGGGGTGTTACTGGTAAGTTTCACGTGGTATAACTCATGGTTCACTGGCAGACCTTTGCTTGGTTCAAGATTCCATATAAATCGATTAACGATTCGTTGATCAAACTACTTCCGGACGAGTAATAATTTAATCAATCTCTTTTTGAAGAAATCCAATACGCATCGTGAATCGAACCGTTGGCTTTTCAGCCCAGACGTAATCCGTGTCACGCGGTGCTCTGAAGGTAACCTGAATTTGTTTCTGTTTAAAAGCTTGTCGGAGGAGCGAGGACGTTGCTGTCAACTCACGGTCACATTAAATGGCCTCGAGTTAAATCGTGTCAAGACATCATTGTGTAGTATCTCGCTGCAGTTCTTCACATCAAAATGGAGCTGAGAATTCTATATAAACTAGCCTCCACCACGCACTGTTCAGTGTAGAACACGCGGTCTCTGCCAAGGCCATCACTGCACTCTCCCAGTCAATTTTCCAAGCCGCCAGGTCTACACAGTGTTGCAGAGTGCAGCGGCGTGCGGTCAGCCGGGTCAAACATTTATTTGTTTTTCACGAGTATAAAGAGGGAGCGGGCCCATGGGGAGGCATCAGTGTCTCTCCTTCAGTGTTCAGAGAGCTACCCAGACGAGAACCATGAAGCTGTGTCTGTTTCTGGCTGCGCTGGTAGCTCTGTCGGCCGCCGCCGAAGACAAGGAGGCTGACCAAGAGACCCAAGCCACCGGGTCCTATTCTGCTTTTGGAGGATACGGCAGGTGCTTTGCTGCTAGTTCTTCTCAACGTTCCCCTTGCCTTGAGGCATTCACTTCGCGTATGCCTCTACATTAGATGTGGTTCAAAGTCGTATCTGCTCCTTCCCGCAAACATCATCACACGGCTGCCTGATTCAGTGCCAAATCTGAAATTCCCGAAAGATCGGATAAACAGGAGCAGGACCATGAAATGTCTTTGTGGCTATCGAAATAGCTGTAATTTCTCACTTTGCGGACGTTATTGCCTCCACATCGTGTACAAAACGTACGATGTTGAATTTGTGCATGATCCAGAAACATAAACGCTTCCAGGGCAAATCTAATGGCTCATTTGATTCGAATGAGCCGTAATGAGAATCAGGTCTACCTGATAGGCTGGATGAAAAATGATGAGCATACCATACTACTCTACGTGCTTTTCAAACCAAGATGTCTGTTACATGAGGCAGCACGAGTTCAAATACCAGTTAAATGAAGGCTAGGTGGAAAGTAGCAAAATAACAACGCTAGCGTGGAAAAGGCCATTCTTTATGAAGACCAGCCCACTCGTCTGTTGTTGGTGTTCACGGATCATGATGTCTAAATTGTTTGTCAAAATAGGGCAGAGGGAAATGTGCTGGACAGTATCGGTAAGGGTCTGTGAAATATTTAATACTCTGGCTAGTGTGCTGTGTAGAATGCCCATAACTGTTTGGCCCATCTGCCCACCAGTCGTGTTAGCCATGTAACCAGACGGCTTTGCCCTGAGCAGTGCAACATTATCGCCACAGAACGAACGCACGAATACTTGCCCCAGGAACAGCTTCCGCAGAGGCCGCAGCTTCGGCGGCTATGACAACCGGGCCCTCGGCTACAACGGCAACTACGGCCAGAACTACAACAGCCGCTCCGGACGCGGTTACGGGCGCAGCCTGGACGGCTACGGAAACTACGGACTGGGATATAACGGATATGGTGGCTACTACGGCAATAGCGGCCTCGGCGGCTATGGTGGATACGGCCGTTCGTCAGCAGCCTACGGAGGGTACGGACGTCGCCTCGGAGCTTACAATGGCTACAATGGGCGCCTCGGGGCCTACGGCGGCTACGGCAGCCGTTCTTCTCCCTACAGCCGATACGGCGGACGCAATGGAGCGTATGACGGGTATTATTGAAGAATCTGCCCACGGCAACGGCCTGAAGCCGGTGTGTTGACTACGCAGAAGTGGTGTTTCCGGGACCATTATGGCTGTCTCGATCCTGCGAATATCAATGATGCGCCACATCTGAACTCTCCTGTTTGATCTCGCAGTGTCTACTGTGAGACGCAAATCGTCACAGCTCCGGAATATTCTCCACGCCTTCTTCTTTGTGAGTCTGTGTTCTTCGCTTGCCATTCATTTGAAACACCGAAGCGCAGGATACCAAAATACACAGTTTTGCCAGGAATGCCTCGTTTTCTTGACTACTAAAGACGAACGTCGCCTGTACGGCACTGTGTATTGTATATTATTTACAAGCGTAGCAATTGAACTAAGGAGATGTGGAGGAGGTGGGAGCCATGGTAGACTCCATGCTAGTTCGCTAACATTAAGATAAACGAAAACTAATGTATTGCAGTTACAAACAACACATATGACTACCGGCCACTTCGTAAAAAAAAACGGGTTCATGCGATCCAAAATTTGTGCCCGAATTAAAGAACGGACGACATAGGGTACAGATGGAAGGTGGGAGTTCTTCTGCGTACAACTCGAGTACAGAGACACATCACGGAGCACAGCACCACACAGGTGTCGGTGCGGCGTCGGTGCGGCCGCATGCTGCAGAGAAAGAGAGAGCAGGACGACCATCCTCACTTTCTGTCTTCTTCCAACACACATATCCGTCCCGTCGGGGGGTGCATCTCGCCGCCGCGGACTCAGAAGCGGGTCGATCGCACGCGGCCGTCGGGACCAGGCAACACCTCCGACACGCGGCCGGGCAGCCATCGCCCGCGCGGCACGTCGTCTTCCACCAGCAGAGCTAAGTCACCACATGCCGGATTCCTTGTCTCGTGTGTCCACTTCCGTCGGCCGGCCAGACCGGGCACGTACTGAACCAGCGCTCCAGAACTGATTAGCTAACGCCTGCGTCTGACGCGAGAGACGCCGGCTGCAGGCGTCTCTGTCGCTGAACATTCCAGACAGCATACAGGCCGTCGGATGGTCCAGAAGGAGGTGATTGAGCGTCAACACCCCTACACTACACAGATAATCTACTCTCTTCTTTTATACCCCGTGACTGTGTATAACCCCGACTTTGGTACGTCTAACTCAGGCTTGCCAGCCTGGAGAGCTTAGCGCACTGTACGCAGGCGTCGATGAAATGAAGACCGCCTGGCGAACTAATGGACACAAAATGACCGCTGCCGTCGACGCAGCCATCAAACCACAATACCGTCCGTCATAATGTCGTCCGTCCGTCCGTAAATGAACAGTCTCCTCGCGATGAACCTGCTGAGGATCACCAGAAAACTGTCTGTGTTGAAAGACATTCGAAGTGGACGGCGCGTGCAGTAACGTATGTTATCAGCAGGCGCTATCTGTTCTGCTAGCCGTTATGTGGACCAGTCTTAGTGACCAGGGGACGAAACGGTCGATTCCAACGGAGCTGAGGCCGCAGCGAATATCAAATAGGGCTGCCGGTCAATCAGTCATCCGCTGCTGCAGGGTCTGTTGCGTCACGCGCAGGGTCCAGTATTTATTACAGGTCGTTGAGGACGTGATCCGCCCCTGGGTTGCACCAGCTTCTCGTGAGCGGCCGTGATCAGCAGCCACGTCACACGGCTGTCTCTCGGCAGGATCAGGGGATGGCGAGCTTCCTCCGGCAGCGGAGCGTGCAACAGCAAATCTCCGGTCCAGAGCAGGCTATCCCGGTCCAACTGAGGGCACAGCGGCAGCAGACGACTTCCGCTGGTGATTGGAGCTGCTCTGGTCAACGCAGTCATCTCCTGGCAGAAGGCCTCGTGTCGCAATTGGTGAACGATGAAAGCTCTTGCTTCTCGGAGCTCAAGCGCGGACAAGGGACCAAACTCCTGTTTTGTTAGTCAGAACTTTTCTAGGACAATAAAAAACACATCGATAAGTTCTCGTTGGACACTAAATGCCGGAGTTCTGTTCACTAAGCTTCGATATGAATCCAGCTCTACGCATAAGATACGCAAATACACTTTAAACAGCAGCGCGTTGAATTTGAATTGAAAGCTGGAATTTTTGTCTCCAATTTTAATTCGAGTATACTCCCATCCGTATTTTCTGGTGACGACTGAGCCACTTATTCGAAACAAGGCCCCTGTTGCGACTGTACTAGTTGATCCCCTGTTGCAGCGAAGAAGACAAATTGACCGTCCACTCCATTTACTGTGTGTACTGTTGTGTTTACTTGTGTGGTGTGGAAATACCCAACTATGAAAATGCATGTTATCGTTAATTTTGGCTTCTTTGTCTTGCGCCGGACGGCCTGAGCTACAGTGAATGTGTTGCGCCGGGTTCCCACGAAACCGGTCTAACGTCCCCACCCCAGGCAGTTTCGGAAGACTGCTTTAAAATAACACAAGAAGAAAAAGAGGCTCTGCACTGGCACAAACAAAAATAATCGGTGACTGGCCCTTGGCCTCCTGACTGGACTGGCCTCCCGCTGTGCTAGTAACCAACGCGTTTTTGTCTGACGGCATTCATCTTCGTAAACGTGCCGCTTTTAAGCCTGCAACCCGTAACGCGCATGTTAAAACAGCTCAAAAGTGCCACCTCAAACCCAGAACAGCTGAGGCCACGTTTATTACGACTAGAACTTCCTGATACAGCGAAACTTCAGCGTTTAGACATGTGTTCTGCACAAGCCCACGCTGCAAGCGTTAGCGAGTAATGACCAATACTAAGCTTTTAGCTCCGTCTAACTGGGATGGTGTGTTGTAATCTGTTTTTATTTTCCATTTTGTGGTTGTGTCCATTGGTGTGTTGCGGGAGAGATGACACTTTGGTTCATTGCATCTTTAGCTTTAAGTTGGTTCACTGATTTTGAAGCTATGTATTTTGGGCCCTGATGCGGTCTGTAAGACCCGCCCGTGTCATACTTGACGCATGTGCGGTTGTATTTCGTGTGAGAAATGACCAAAGTGCTGTGAATCTTGTTATCTTATCGGACACGTGATATGTACATGTGCAGCAGTTGCATGAAAGTTATTTTCTTCGGATGGTTTCCGACCACAAAGCAAACAATCCTTTCCTGCCCACGGAATGATGACCTTTATAAACGCGCGTCAGAAGCAGCGATTGATAGAAATCTGGCGGGATTTGTTTTCTGGCGGCGTCCTTTAAATGTAATTCAACAGTGCGGGATGCAGCATGCCGCTACGGCGCCAGCTCGAGGCGGAGCAGCCTCCCCTCAGCGGTTCCCGTCCCATTGCCGCCCTGATAATTGGTAAAACATATTGACAGAGAACTCCAAGCCTTCGTTTTCATTTACCTACTTTTGCTTTTCTTCGCTTTCCTTGATGTCATACGAAGGTGAGACAAATCCAGTCTTCCTCCCTTTTAAATAGACCTTAATGATGATTCTGCGGTCTGGAATATTAACCACCTTCTTTACAGAATTTACCGGCTGCAAACTTAAATTGGATTTCATAGATGTTGGATTAATTCGCTAGCCGCCAAAACACGTTTGATAGACACCAAACACTGAACAATTGATAGCACATAAAGGAGACAGTTTAAAGCAAAAAATCATTTTCACCGACAATTTAAGGTTGATAAATTTTATTTTGCTGTTTTTTGTTCATAGCACGGCTCAATAATGCTAACTTTCAGCTTTTCCAATTTTGCTATCTCACCAAGTCAGATTATCTCTCCATGCTTAGCATTAGGACAGAATGGTGCGGCTAATACAGAAGTGTTTGCTAGCGAAATTCGGCGGTTCAAAACTGTTTTCTCATATTTTCAGTAGAGAGTTCCTATTACTGATTTCACATCCTAATCTTGGATGCTGCGAGTTAGATAAGCGTTTTATTTTTTGGATGGGTTAGATGACGCTGTCTGTCAGCAGACGATGTGAAAGATGCTGGCTTTGGTTTTTTTGGAGAAGAAAGAAGCGCACTCTTAAAGAAATAGTGTTTTTACCGTCTGGGGCACCTAGTTGCTTACTTTACCTATGTCCCATATTCTTGGTGGTTTGCCCCAAATTTCTTGAAGTGGCCACATATGTCTACTCCAACAAGGTTTTGTCTCTGGTGTCAGTGATAGGCTGACTTGCAGATGATTGTATTCGACTGAATTATGCCCCAGTGCATTGATTGAAGTCATGGTAAAGGAAATACATTTGCTGTCCTATTTGTGAGATGACCTCCATATGAACTTCAAATGTGTCTTTTTTAGACAATGCAACTTCCATCAACTCATGAGTTTCAGCCTTTTTTACCTGAATTTTCGCTCCTGAGTGGTCTCTGGAGTGAAATATTTCACTCCCCACGCAAGTTCAAAAGCAATTCTAGCTGACTGTACGCGCATGGTGATACCACAACCATGCTCATTGTTTTCATCCTGCAAACACCAGAGAAACCTGTTTTCTCATAGGGAACCAGCCGGTTTGATGTCACACTATCTGCTTGGAAAGAAAATTGGTCACTTCTCATGAAGATTACCTTCGCTCCGTTTGACTGCATACCCTTTTGTGCTCTTTGACTTGCATTCATTTAGCACGCCAAGACGAAGATTATATAAATGCATTGTTTAACCCCAATGGCATGTTCGCTTGCCTACTTAAAATGGACGACGCCTTGATGACACTGCGTATTGGCTTACAAGCACAGAGGCAGGGTCAGGGGTGTAGAGCGAGGAAACTGTAGGTTCCATTGTGCTACATGTTCCGAGAATGGTGGGCATACACCATATGGCGACGTGTGAGAAAATGTACTTCGAAGCTGGTTTTAGCTCCCACGTTTTCTGAGACGTTCCTTGACGTATCTTTATAAGGGACGGGGGCTATGCTAAGGGAATTTTACGAACCCGTGCCTAGCGCTTCACAAAAAAAGAGAACAAAAAACTACAGATAGTGCACCTTCACATATCACTGAAGGGATCTGACAAAAACGAGAGTAAAGCGGATGATTTTTTCGCAAATAAGTCTTTTGGGAAATAAGAGCAAAATATCGGACA